GGGTGGGTTGGGGGGGGGGTCAGGCATGATCTGCAGTTGCGTGGGGTCCCCTCCCCCAGCAAACCTACATGCCCATCCCCTCTGCCCACTGGGACTTACTTGCTTGGCTCTGGCAGTAGTGAATGCTGATAAAAGCGACTGCACCCAGAGTGCCTTGTGGGATGGGGTTTGAGAGGGCTGGCTTGGGGGAGGGGGGTGGTGTTGGACCAAGGGGCCAGTGGGGCAAAAAGCCCAGTGCATGTGGGGGAGCAGGAGGTGGGAGTGGGATGAAAAGAGTAGCCCTGGAGGCCAGTGGCTGGGTTTTCCCAGGCCTGGGGCTGTGCAGGGAAAGTGTACAGAAGTTCTGTGCACTGTTTTGACCTAAATCAAATATGTAGTATCAAACTTAGATCCAGGTTTATCTTAAACCAGGTTCTACAATTTTTAGTCCTGTTCGCATGCATGGAAATTCTGTACAGTTACAGGTTTAGACTGATTGTTGGTCATTCAGAGTGGGTCTGGAAGTGTAAGGTTGGCACTGGGGCGAGCTAAGTTTAAATCCGGTGGCCATTTTGAACCCAGTTCAGCCTCCCCAAATATCTGTACTTAGCCATGAGGTGCTCAGTGTCCTCTGAACTCAGAACACTCAGCACCTGTTAGGCCCAGGACATCTGCTTCATTGTGCTGTCTTCCAGCAATCACATTTAACCAGATAATATAGAATGACTGAATGCTGCTTTAATTAGTACAGAATTAACATACATTTCCTTTAACAGGGACATGATTGCATAGTGCCAGATAATTAACTAATGTGTAACTGGATGTTAAAGTCATAAAGCTGTACAAGGCTGTCTTTTTTTTTTTCTTTTCTTTTTTTTTTTATTCACAGGTTGTGGAAGGTCAGAAGGAGAAGGAAATTATTTAATTTTGGTTCAGTCTAATATTTTGAATAAGTTTCTGCATGTGTTGTTTTATTTAAAGCAGCCCTTTCATTTGCTGTTAATCAGGAGGATAGGAAGTCCACGGGGGAGTACTAAGAGGATTATATTGCATATGTTGTGAGATCCTGTAAGGCCAAATCTTGCTTGCCCTATTTGTGTGAATAGTCCTATTGATTTCAGTGGGATTTTATGGTGGTTAACATAGATGACTTTTACATGATTAAATGCCTAGATTTAGATATACAGATAAACAAAATTATGCATGATGTGAAATTCATGTAGTTATAGAGCTCTGACGTGACCACGTCTTTGAATCTTACAAACATTAACCCTGCAGTATTTATAAATACTGAGCCATCTGTGGATAAGTATTGCAGATATTAGATTTAGTAGCTATAATGAGACGCAGATGAATCCAATTTAATCACCTTTTTAATTTTATTTTAGGCTAATGCTGATGTCACTGTACAACGTGAGCATCAACTTGAAGGGCTTGAAGTACATTAGTGAAAGTCCAGGCTTCATTCCATTACTTTGGTGGCTGTTGAAAGGTAAGGTTGTTCCAAGAACAATGCAGGTTGTAGACTTTTGGATAATAACTGTGAATTAATCTGTATAGGTCATACGTAAAGATAATAGCTAAGTAGAAAATCTAATCTGTCACCTAGTTTTGTATAAATTCTATCTGATCATAAAGGACCAAAGCAGGGGAAATAACTGAAGAGTAAAAGAAAATATTTCCAGCAGTGGTTCTGGCGTGTTGCATTTGATTCATATAAAAGTTGTTAATAGTAATGTCCAGTGGTGGGAGTAGAAAAGCCTGATAAAGGAAACGGAAGACACCTACCTGTGTTTATATCTGTGTACTTTAAACTAATGTATTTGAAATGCTGTATCTTGTAATGAAAAATATTAGAAAAGCAGGTGTAACTATTGAAAGTAGTATGGAGGCAAAATCAGTCTTTTTCTTTGATCTTGAGTTATTTTAGTGAAACTAATGAACTGTTGGGACTCAACTCATCTCTGGTGTAACTGAGTCCAGCTCCAGTTGACAAGAAGTGGCACAGACTGTGGTACTGGGCTTAAGCATTGGTTTGGGATGCAGAAGGTCCTGTTTCTGGCTCTGTTGCCTAGCTGCTGGGTGACCTTAGGCATGCTGGTCCACTTTCTATGTCACTGTGTCCTGTCTCAGCTATGTCTCTTCTATTTTAACTGTAAGCTCATGAGCTATTACTACTGATAGTAATTGCTGAAGATAATGGTAGCCACACATGCTTGTGCAGGGATTCAGTTCTGTAGTTGGAGTTCTTTGGTTTTTTCATTTTTGTCCAGCAAATTTGGGATCACTCATATCTCAAAGTTTTGCTGAGGCTTTATGTAAAATGTATGTACTTGGGCTCATTGTCAAATAATAATAATTTTCATTACTTTAGTATCTTTTCAGGTTTTCAATGAATTAATTAAGCCTTACACTACACTCTTGGGAAATATCATATCCATTTTACAAATCTTTGACATAACTGGAGGAAACACAAAACTTAGTAGAACAGCCTAAATATATAGTCTGTGGAAACTTTATACATGTTGCTCCAAGGTCTTACTTTCTGTCAGATTAATATATAGGTCATTATTCTAACAAAAACCAACTTCTCTAAATTAGAGCTCCCAAATGTGCCCTTCAAAATGCTATGATAGAACAAAGGAGTTGCTTAATGCGATCCATTGTTTAATTAAAGCACCAAGGGTCACATAAGTGCACAAAGTATGACATAGAGTAGATAATATTTAATTTCCAGCTGTTGAAGGAAATGGTGATCTGTTTTCCAAAGGTGCTAATCATGTGTAGCTGGGGTTTGGGAAAAAGATGGGTGCAGCTAATTCCTTCACTATCTGATTTTAAAACTCTAAGCTTCTAACAGAGGCAGGGGATGTCTATGCAGAGTGCCCCCCCCCGAGTTCAAAGGTCTGACCTCGCAGAAGTTGTGTGTGCTATCAAGAGAAATAGCTGAATAGTTTGTGCAAGTGGATCAAGAGCACTGAATAGAGAGCGTGCCCTGGGCCTGACCTCAAGCCCTTCCTTTGCAGACACTCTTTCTTCACCATCTCATTTCTCCCTCGTTTTGTTTTTTTGATTTCCCTCTTTCCTCCTTGTTCCTTTCCTGCTTCCAAGGCCCCAACTCCTCAGCTTTCACTGGCCAGGACACTGAACTTCCAGAGACTTCCAGCAGCCCAGCCTGAATTTCCTGCTTCAGTATGCATACACATGTGTATTGGAGTATTATAATTCATACTGCCAGAGTTTCATAGTTTTATAGAGGACACTTTGACAGAATTGGGTACAGGTGTGGCCTGGACTTCACACAGCTTTTCACTTTCTCCTAAGATGTTCAAAGATTCCCTGAAAGGAGTCCTAAAGGAGTTATTTTGAGTGCTGACAGAAGTGGTATTTGTCATGTGATCAGCCCCTTGAAAGCACAGCTGTCAGAGCAAGTGTGTGGCTACAGAGTGCTTTAGAAGTGCCCAGCTGTGCTACATGAGGGTTCAGATGAAAGTGCTCCAAAGTGGAGCACCTTCATTAACTTCTGTAAGTCACTACAAGCGAGCAGGCCTGTAGTGGCCCCAGCCCCAGCCCCAGCCCCAGCCCCAGCGTTGTCTTCTAGATGGCAGGAGGAGAAGGGAAGGGGAGGGAGCTGTGGGCTGGGGTTTGCCCAGCCTGAGCTGGAGTGGAAGTGGGGCTCCGATCCACCTCTGCCCCCCTCCAGCTCAGGCTGGGAAAACCCCAGCCCACAACTCTCTCCCCTTCCCTTCTTCCTCTCCCATCCTGCAGACAACACTGGAGCTGTCTCTAGGAGAGACAGGCTGCAGGCAGGCAGCTCCTTGGCTGGACTGGTTCCAAGGATTCAGTCACCTGGTCATAAAAGGCAACTAGGTTGGTTGGGCAGGACCTGCCTTTGATGAACCCATGCTGGTTGCCCCTGAAC